GATAATGAATGAATGCTTTATGTTCATCCTTTTCAACTCCTATTCCTTCATTATAGTAATATCCAACTTGATGTATTGCATCAGTATGTCCCATTTCGGCAGATTTTCGATAATGATTAAATGCTTTATATTCATCCTTTTCAACCCCTATTCCATTTTGATAACAATATCCAACTTGGTATATTGCATTAGCATCACCTATCTCTGCAGATTTTCGATAATGAATGAATGAATGCTTTATGTTCATCCTTTTCAACTCCTATTCCTTCATTATAACAATATCCAAGGTTATATATTGCGGTGGCATTTCCCATTTCTGCAGATTTTTGGTAATGAATAAATGCTTTATGTTCATCCTTTTCAACCCCTATTCCATGCCGGTAATTATATCCAAGTTTATTTATTGCATTAGAGTCATCTTTCTTAGATAATTTTGTACGGCTAAAGATACTATTAAAAATACTTTTCATATTGCTTTTTAAAGAAACGAGTTATCGTTATCGCTACAAAAAGCCGAAACAGCTTAAATTAGGGGGATGGCTAAACTGAGTCCGGTTAAGTGTTATTTTTTTAATGCATTTAGGGCCAATTGTTTATAAAAATATCAAGAATATGACTTGTAATATGTAAATCCATATGTAATTGGTAAATTATCGTTATTGAGTCCGTACTGAAGATAATTTAGTACTGTATTTTATAAAATTTTGAGATGGTACGATACAGTACGAATGTGCATATATAAAAAATAATTCAGTACTGTATTATATAAAATTTCAAAATGATACAGTACAGTACATCACTTATAATAATACAATAAGCGACTAAAGCCTTTTGTACTGGATTGTATAGATTGTGAAGCAAAGATACCAATACAGTACATACAGGTTTGTTAAAAAATTTTTGCATTGCTAGTATTCAAATGTCGCCTCAAAGTAAATTTGGAAGGAAAAAACCCCGATTTGGCGCCATTGCTGCGTCATGCTGCGCCATACATTATTTATTAATTATTATTAATAATGCGGGAGGTCCCATCACTAGATCAAATAGTTAATTATTATTTGCCCAATTAAATTAACACTCACAGGATTATGAGATATGTAATCAAATAAGTGACCCACCTTATATGTTGTACAATTGGTTAGATCTAAGTCTAACCAATTGTACAATATATAAAGTGAGTCACTTACTTGACCACATATTATCTCATAATCCTGTGATTGGATTTAGATGATTTTGAACTTGTTGGGATTGTTTTAAGGAGATGAACATTTGGGTAGTAAAACTATCAAAAATAAACCAATAGATCAAAAGTTATTTATTCTTAAAGTTTTAAAAAAAATAAACCCTAATTATAAATTCTGTAAATCCGCCTATATGTATACAATATTATTCTTGAAAAGAGCATCAGATAATGCTTTTCCACCTTCTGATCCAAAATCATTCGAATCAAGATTTAACTTTGTTAAGGTAGTGTTCTTGCAAAGAGCATCAGCTAATGCTTTTCCTCCTTCTGATCCAAGATCATTCGAATCAAGATCCAACTTTGTTAAGGTAGTGTTCTTGCAAAGAGCATTAGCTAATGCTTTTCCTCCTTCTGGTCCAAGATTATTTGAATCAAGATCCAACTTTGTTAAGGTAGTGTTCTTGCAAAGAGCATCAGCTAATGCTTTTCCTCCTTCTGGTCCAAGATCATTATAATTAAGATCCAACTTTGTTAAGGTAGTGTTCTTGCAAAGAGCATCAGCTAATGCTTTTCCGGCGTCTGATCCAAGATTATTCGAAGAAAGATCCAACATCGTTAAGGTAGTGTTCTTGCAAAGAGCATAAGCTAATGCTTTTCCTCCTTCTGGTCCAAGTTTATTATTGTAAAGACTCAACTCTGTTAAGATAGTATTCTTGCAAAGAGCATCAGCAAATGCTTTTCCGACGTCTGATCCAAGATTATTCGAATTAAGATACAACACTGTTAATGTAGTGTTCTTGCAAAGAGTATCAGCTAATGCTTTTCCACCTTCTGATCCAAGATCATTCGAATCAAGATTTAACTTTGTTAAGGTAGTGTTCTTGCAAAGAGCATCAGCTAATGCTTTTTCTCCTTCTGATCCAAGATTATTCGAATCAAGATCCAACGTCGTTAAGGTAGTGTTCTTGCAAAGAGCATCAGCTAATGCTTTTCCGGCATCTGATCCAAGATTATTCGAAGAAAGATCCAACATCGTTAAGGTAGTGTTCTTGCAAAGAGCATAAGATAATGCCTTTCCTCCTTCTGATCCAAGATTATTATCGTAAAGATACAATGTCGTTAAGGTAATGTTCTTGCAAAGAGCATTAGCTAATGCTTTTCCATCTTCAGATCCAAGATTATTATTACCAAGACCCAACTCTGTTAAGGTAGTGTTCTTGCAAAGAGCATCAGCTAATGCTTTTCCACCTTCTGATCCAAGATCATTCGAATCAAGATCAAACTTTGTTAAGGTAGTGTTCTTGCAAAGAGCATCAGCTAATGCTTTTCCTCCTTCTGATCCAAGATTATTCGAATCAAGATCCAACTTTGTTAAGGTAGTGTTCATGCAAAGAGCATCAGCTAATGCTTTTCCTCCTCCTGGTCCAAAATCATTATAATTAAGATCCAATGTCGTTAAGGTAGTGTTCTTGCAAAGAGCATCGGCTAATGCTTTTCCGGCGTCTGATCCAAGATTATTCGAAGAAAGATCCAACATCGTTAAGGTAGTGTTCTTGCAAAGAGCATAAGCTAATGCTTTTCCTCCTTCTGATCCAAGTTTATTATTGTAAAGACTTAACTCTGTTAAGATAGTGTTCTTGCAAAGAGCATCAGCTAATGCTTTTCCGGCGTCTGATCCAAGATTATTCGAAGAAAGATCCAACATCGTTAAGGTAGTGTTCTTGCAAAGAGCATAAGCTAATGCTTTTCCTCCTTCTGATCCAAGATTATTGTCGCCAAGACCCAACGTCGTTAAAGTAGTGTTCTTGTAAAGTGCATTGATTAACTCGTTTATTTTTTCGGATTCACGACATTTAAAATTAAGATTCCAAGATGAAGCATTCTTTTTATCGTTATTAGTATGCTGACTGTTCTTGAGGATTTCTTCATAAAGTTCTAATGCTTTGAGAAATTTGCCTTGGTTAAAAGATTCACGTGCTTCTTTTCTCATATCCTCAATATTACACTCTTGCGCTGAAATGTTTGAAATTACTGTATCGGATAAGTGAAGAGGAGATGAAGTCGTAATATCGAATGAATTTGTAGGAGCAGTAGTATTCTCTTGAGAACTTGCTGAAGTATCGCTATTTTGAGTTAATGCATGGTCTTGACTTAAATTTTTATTAGCAATAAGTTGTTTCAAAGTATCGAAAACTTCTTTGGTTTCTGGACGATTTGCAGGATCGCCATCCCAACATCATTTGTAAAGTTCAATATATTGAGGCGGTGTATCTTCTATAGGCTCTTCTCTCTTCCCTTGAAACATGTTAACAACAATCATTTCATTTGTTAAGTGTTGGAATGGTGGCTTTCCGCTCGAAAGTTCCCAAAAAATTATTCCAACGCCATAGATATCTGACTTCTTGTCACGTTTATATCCTTGTTTAAAAAGGCACTGAGGTTCGATGTATGCTGGCATTCCACGAACAATTGAGTTTGAAGTCATAGACGTCTCGTTTACTTGCTTTGACAGTCCGAAATCCGCAATTTTTGGTTGTTTTTGATGAATCAAAATATTCTTTGAATGCTATGAAATATATCAAAGCATTAATTACTATAGTTAAAACATGCAAACATATAAAAATAATATACTTACAAGATCTCTATGAATAATATTATTATGTAAAAATAAAAGCCCAAATGCTATTTCCTTAGCGATAAGTAGCTTGTCTGTCCACTGCAATTTTGCAATATTTGCTTTCAGGTACTCTCTTAAATTTCCGTCATTAGCATATTGTAAAACCATGTTATAATATCCGTTATTGTCTATTTAATGGTATTAAATATTCTTAATAGTTAATAGTTAATTTATACAAATTTAGAACTTTTAAATTGTATATACCTTTCGTAACTCCATAGAACTTAATAATATTAGGATGATAACCAACCCTTAGTAATAGCTTCAGCTTTTATATCATAGTCGTAGAAATGTAAAAATTTAGTATTACGCCAGGAATCAATGAAAAGTAGTAATACAAAGTAGTAATGTAATAAATACTTCTTTAATAAAATCTTTAATAATTTCTTCATTTATATTGGTGTCGATTTTAAGACATTTAAGGGCAACCGTTAAATCACAATCTTTCCATTCGTATTTAAAAACATTTCCGAAACCACCACTGCCAATAATTGTAGAATATGTAAATTTATTAAACTCAAGATTATTAATATATCCTTCAGAAATGGCTTTTTCAAGCCATTCTTTCGGTGTTTTTTTTTTCCATGATTTTGTATACCAGAAAAAAATGTACAGACACACAAATGTACGACGTAGATCTTATCAGTTATTTATACGTACGTACAGGTTAGTCATGGCAAAAAAAATGTTGCGAATACGTAATCGGCGATCCTTTCGAACCAAATCGGAGTGATCTCAAAATGTAACCTGATAATCTCGTTAATGTTAAGACAGAAAAAAACATAAGGTTTTTTTTTACAAGAGGTTTGTATAGAATTACCAGTCGTATATACGTACCATATAATAGTATTTTACTTTACTTAAAGGTGTATTGTCAGGAATACGAAGAACAAACCTGTATAGATTACTTACGTATATTAAACTTTTTATAATTCACTTAATTAACAACTATGGTAAATTGTTATTAACTTCTTTAAGATGTTTGCGCAAAGTTTATTTAAAAAAAAACTAATTTTTATTACAAAATAAATACAGGGTTTCAAGAATATTAGTTAAGTATAATAAAAATATATTCCTGACAGCACTACTTTAAGTAACAAGGATCGTATTTATAAGATCTAATTTTTAGTTTGACGAAGCCTACTGAAGCCAAAAAGCTAATTTTCCTATTTTTGATTTATTCCAGGTTTGCTGTTGAGTTTTTGCATTAAGAACTTTGTTATATGCAGCAATTTCGACAATAAGAGGCTTCTTGAGGGCTGTATATACTTCATAAAGCTTGTCATTTTCAATATTATTAGTTATAATTTTCACCAATGTTTCGAATGCTTTCATATCTTTTATTAATTCTGTTTTTCTATTTTCAATCTCTATATAGCGCTCAGAGGTAGATTAAATAATATTATAACTTGGCATTTTAGGTTCCGGATCGAATTCCATTCACTATCTTGCAAAACATTATTTCAAAGATTATTTATTAGATGAATTCTTGGAAGATTTTCTTTGTTAAAGGTGATAAAGAGGTAATCGTGTCGATGTGCTGTGGCTTTAAATTTAGGAAAAAATTTGGGGTTGAAATATAGTATAAATGATTTCTTTTTACCAGCATTATACCAATTTTTGGTCAGAATTATACCAACTTTTGGTCGGAATTATCACAGGGGGAACCGTACGTATATATATATATAATACTATTATATACTCTTTTTTATACAATTTTTAGGGTATATGCCCTATTTAGAGTATATACCCTATTTTTTGAGGTACATATTCTATTTTTTGGGGGGATACATACCTTATTTTTTAGAGTATTATATATTATATGATTTTTATTTTTAGGGTTTAAGGTGCTTTTTTGTGTAATCTAGGCTAGATGGGGTCTTATAGGATATGCACCCTATTTTTTGGAGTATATATCCCAATTTTTAGGGTGCATATCCTAAATTTTAGGGTAGGGTCATCTATATTATATTTTAGCCAAATTTGAATTCTCTGCTGTATATATTTTTGTTAGATGTTTATATATAAGATAAGTACTATATATGAATCATCAGGAAATTTTAAATTGGTTAGTAATCGATTGACACCTAGGAATAGTAATCGATAAGCAACACCTCTGTCGATTACTAGCGATATAGATAACAATCGATTAACAACAAGTTTATCGATTGCTAGCGATATAATAACAATCGATTCACAACAAGTTTATCGATTAGAATCGATTTGATTATGATAATCCGAAAATTGATTATCAGTAAAGTTCATTTGAAGATTACTTTATTGTTATAGCTTTATAGAAAATTTACACGTTTTTATCGGTTCATTGTTTTTTACCTTTTACTCTGCCAGTTGGTAAATAAACTCAAATCTTTTCTTATTCATAACTAATAAATAATCTGTTCTACTTGGTTTAAATTCTCTGTGGCAGGTTGGGAGAATAAAATTTGGTAAGTATAGGCTGTGAAGGATTTTCAATTGCTATTTAATTGGGTTGCCCTTAAATGTCTTAAAATCGACACCAATATAAATGAAGAAATTATTAAAGATTTTATTAAAGAA